CTTTTATCAGGTAAAAGGCCACTGAGATCCCTCTGGGGGAGATGCAGAAGGTGGTGTTGACCTTCACAGTGGATATACTGAACATGGACCATGGGGCTGTAGGGTCTGGCCCTGCCTGGCAAGGAGGAGGAGGGGCTTTCCCTTCCTGGACACTAGGGCAGTGCTCGACTATCTGGCAGGAACAGTCTGGACTTGTGAGCCTGGACTCTGAACAGGACAATGTGGCAGAGGTAGAACACTAGGGGATGTAGGCTGCGGGCGGGGTGGGGTTGGAGTTAGCAGGAATCTGACTCATACGTCAGCATCAGGTGAAGTCAGAAGTTTCTGCCTGTCTATTTTGAGCTCAACACCCTCCCCTCCACAGCGGGGAGGCCATTTCTTCCAGGTCCAGTATGATCCCCTGAAAGTATCAGTTGTTGCCTGACCATCCCCAGCAGAGGGAGCAGGAGAGCCATGGGCTAACCATGCTGCAGGAGGCCTTGGTGGCATCCCTTTCTGCACATGGTCATTGTTCAGTCTCGTGTCCCACCCAACCATCATCCCTTCTCCTCAGCAGGATACTCTGGGCACGGCCTCGTTTGCTGCCTTGCTGGCCAGAGGCCAAGGCCAGTGTGGAGTCAGCACAGGTGACACTCAAGAGGTAGGACAGGGCTGAGGCAGCAGCATAGGTATATCTTCTGTCCTTGAGGACCCCGGGACACTCCCATCAAAGGTACCCCCAGGGCCTAGCCATTAGGGGCCTGAGCACACCCGGACTTTGAAGGACAGAAAATCTGTATGCCAAGAGGTGGCATGGTGCCTGGCGCCTGCCTGGACCCAAGAGACCTCCATCACAGCTTCCCACCAGTGTTAGGGCTTTGAGTCCAGGAGTCCATGAGGACATTGGGACCCATCCTGACATTTTGGGGGTGAAGGGGTGGAGAAGGTCAGGCTTCTCAGACACAATGTATAGAATGTAGAAGGGGGTCCTCATTCTGCTCACCTCTGCTCTCAGCATTTTCTCTCCTATAAGGGAGCAGTGGTGGATGAGAGGGTGTGTGCATGGGAGAGAACTGGCCTCTTGTCATATCTGGCTGCCTTGGAAACAGCTGGAGTTCCTGGGATAGCTCAATCCCCTTGAAACCACCTGGTTACCCTCCATGACCACCTGGAGTCCCTTGGGAACACTTGGAACCTCTCAGGAACCATGGCTACCTTGTCTTCGGGAGAGATGGAGATGCTAAGGTTGACTATGTTAAGTTGGACCTAGTACCACCAAGTGCCAGTGCTACCCACATGAACTCACAGCATGCACAGACTACCTCTTAGAGGTTCTATCAGGTGTGTAGGTGGGAACTGGGGTGCAAAGGAAACTGGGATGGAGGGCACTGAACTGGATGAGTCCATGATGTCTTTCTCTCCATGTCAGAGTGGAGGTGACCACCACCAGCTCACTGGGAGTCCCATAAGGAACGGGAGGTTAAAATAAATGAGGGGGGCCTCCCTGGTGGTGCAGGTGGTTGAGTCCCACACTGTAAAGCTGTCCACAGCCTCTGCAGCGCAGGTTCGATTCCAGCCAGCCAACAAGAATCTCACATGGTGCAGCAGACCTCTCCTGTCTCGCCTGCTGCTCCCCTCAGCAGTGTATTTCAGTCAGTCTGCCTGTTCTGTTCCCTGCTCTGTCTCTGGTGAATCCTCTCACCCTCCCACGCATCTGACCTGTACCCTGGTTCTTGTATAAATAAATAAATATTTAAAATAAATAAATAAATGAGGGGGGTCTCCCTGGTGGCGTAAGGCATTAAGTGTCAGCACTGTGAAGCTATCCGGATCTACTGCAGCACAAGTTCAATCCCCAGGCAGGGAAGTGACACACATGGCACAGCAGACCTCTCCTGACTCGCCTGCTGCTCCCCTCAGCAGTGTGTTTCAGTCAGTCTGCCTGTTCTGTGCCCCACCCTTTCTGGTGAATCCTCTCATCCCCTGCACCTCTGGCTTACACCCCAGTTCTTGTATGCATAAATAAATAAATCTTTAAAATAAATGAGGAGTGGGGGGGGGTCCATCATACAACTATCTGGGCTCCTCAAGGATCTTCCAAATGGAGCCTATTAGTAAACCCATTGCAAATGACTCTGGGAGAAGGGGGTCCACCCTCCCCCCTAGATACCCAGCATAGGACTGGCTGCACATAGAGACTCAAATTCCTAGCTCCCCCATCAGATCTAGGTAGGTGGTAAGGTCTCTGGGGCAGCTGAGGAATAGGGGGTTCCAGGCCCATGAAGGCCCTGGGGTAAGCCAGGGCTGGGATTGGGGGTGGGAGGTGATCCTGCCATCTCCATGTATACCGTGGCTGCTGTCCCCCAGGAAAGTGGGAGTTGCGTAGCTGCAAGTCTGATCCACCTCTGCCTGTGTCTTGGGGCTTGGCAGCCCATCCAGACTCATTGTGTGGTCTCTGCAATGGAACCAAATATCTGAAGAGGTGAGTCCTTGAGACCTGGGATTTCGTGAGAAGCAGGAGAGCTCTGCCTTTGTGACCCTAGGCAGCTCTGCCTCTTTTTACACCTTCATTTCCCCATCTTTAAAATGGGAACTCCAGACCCAAAGTGCTCAGAGGAGTCCCTGTTGGCCAATATTAACTGAGTTCCTTCTATGTGCTAGGTGCTGTGTGTGGAGCTTCTATACTAGATGGGGAGATAGAAGTTACACAGGCCAAGATCTGCATGGCCATAGGATGTAGCCCCCATTTTCCCAGAAGAGGAAGTTGAGGCCAGGGAGGAAGAGGGAACAAATAACTGAACAAAGGCAGAGAGAGCCTGGGCAAGGGTTCTCTGCAGAGGTGGCATCACACAGAGTCCCACACAGACCACAGGAAGAGGCCCTGGCAGAGGAAACAACATGGGCCAAGGCTCCCAGGTGAAAAGGTGCAGGTGTGTTCTGACAGTCCAGTGGCCCAAGTCCAGTGACTGAGGGGGAGGGGGAAGGGGAAAATAAGGCGGGAAGTGTGACAGGGTCAGAGGGAATCACCAAACAGATGAAGAGTGAATAAGCAGCTCCTGGCTGGGTGCCTAACTTGCTGTGTGCCCTTGGGCAAGTGTCTTTCCACTTTCCTCTTTGGACCTCTGAGTCATAATTCTCTCAGCAGGTGGTGAGCCTGGCACGAGGCTATAGCAAGTCCATACGGACAAAGCACACTCCTCTCCCCGTGACTGCCCTCCTGGGGACAGACCCTAGGAAGGGTGGTCCTAAGGATGTTGCCTGCAGACCCTGTGCCTCTGAAGCCCTTCATTGCCCCTCTGGCCTCAGCTTCCTCTTCTGGGAAAGTGGGGGTTACAGCCTATGGCCATGCAGATCTTGGCCGTCCACTGGTGTAGGGCCTTGGGCTTGGTGTCCACTCTGAGGAATGTGCTCTGACGCCTCTTTCCCATCATACCCTGGCCACCCACTCTGAGATTTCAGACTCTCTCTGACTGCTGACATCTATTGGGATATTTCACAAAAACATCTGAGTTTCTTTCATCTCTTGAAAAACTGAGAGCTCCAGTCACTCAGTCCCGCTGTGTGGTGACAGAGCAAGAGCGCTCTCCATCGTGGGGATCTGCATCCAGGCCAGTGGGGATGTGAAGCCTTGTCTCTGCCTCCCCCGACCATCCTCCTTGCAGCCAGTGAAATCTGTTAAGACCCCCAAGCCCACCCCTTGCTCACAGTTCCTCCAGAGCAGTGCCAAAGGAGACCCCATGGGGAACCCATGACTGACAACACCCCTCCTGGCTAGCTGTGTTATTCACCGTTCCTGCTGGAACCTCCCTTGGTGGACCTGCCCTCGGCCTGGCCACCTTTCCTGCAACACCTGCCCCTAGGCATCCTCAGGAGGGCTCCCAGGGACCATCCACCTGCATGCCAAGCCCCCTTCCTCCCACTTCCTGCTTCTTTTCCCCCCAAATCTGAGCACTACTGTGTCTGCGCAGTTCCTTCTTAGTGTCTCCCAGGAACAATGGCTCCGCGTGGAGGGTTTTTTTCCAATGGGGACTCCAGATAGGGACTGATGACCTGAGATGGGGACTGATCCAGGTAGAGACCCCAGGCAGAAACTAGCTGTGAGGACCTCAGGTAGGGATCACAAGTAGAAGGACTGGGGCCAAGTAGAGGCTGGCTGTGAGGACACAAGGTGGGCACCAGCCCTGGGGCCCAGTCTTACTTTCTGGACTAAGGCAGAGTACCACCACGCCTTGCAGAACAGTGCCGGCTGCCCACCTGGTCTACAGGTATGGATGCCAAGGAAGCTGAGTTGTAGAGAAGTGCCTCATCTCTGTATCTCAGTTTCCTCGTCTCTCTCAGTAGGTTGTAGTGAGACTGACGTATTGGAGAATAGTGTAACCATAGAAGGCTGCCCAGGCTGTGTGCTGGAAGTACTTAGTTAAGCATGAGGAAGTTAGAGGGAGCTTGAGTGGCAGGACAGGACCCAGCTCCCTTGAGCAATAGCAGGACCTGGAGCCCTGTGGCCAGAGGGCTGGGCCTCCCCTCTCCTGGGACTTGGTTCCAAGCCTTCTAATGACCCAGAGGGAGGGACTGCACCTGGGTTGGGGCCCAGGCCTCTATTGCTGACTGTGTGATTAGAGCAAAGCACACCCCTGCATCGTCCTTGCCCCCAGCCTCCCACCCAGGCTCAGCTGGGGGCCTGCCCCAAGCCACGCACTCCTGCTGCTGTCAGCATTTATTTACTCATTTCAGACCTTATCTTTCAGAAGAAATGCACATGTCTCCTCCACCGTCCCCTTGGAGGGTTGGCCTCCAGTGGAGTCTCATATTATGGTTATTCAAGAATCATTTGTCCCTCCTTTAGGTCATCCACAGGGGGCGGGGGCTGCAGGGCAGCCAGGAGAGGGCAGAGGACAGTAGAGGCAGGGAATTTCCGCTCCTTCAGTTCACATGATGTAGACAGCAGAGACAGTGAGCAGCAGCTAGGAGGTTCATTCGGCAGTTCTGCTCCACCAACTCGGCAACACTACGACCCTGGGCGCGGCCTCCGATGCTCTGTCTGTCTTTGGGCCCCTACAGGACGCCCTGAGAGAGGGTTATCTTAACAGTGACCCTACACTTGCCCCAGACACACAGTTAGAGGAACACTTTTGCTCCAGACACACAGTTAGAGGTACACTCTTTGCTGATATGCTAGCTGGAACCTGGGACTAAGGGTCCCCAGAGGTGGCCTGGGCCAGGTCCCCTTGGGAAGCAATGCTCAGAGCCTCCACCCACTGCTGCTGAAGTTCTGCAGATGAAGCACTCAGGTACCAGGACTGCTGGGCCTGCTGCAGCCTCCACACGTGTCCGTCATCCAGCCTCTCCTTGGGGTCTAGCAGGCTCACCTTGCAGCCTGAGAGAGGGATGGTGCAGGGTGGCTGGTTGTCCTGCACAAAAGAGAGGGGGATCAGTCCTCTGGGCCCTGGAGTCCCTGCATTGCTGAAAACATCTCCCATAAGTGGGCAACAGAGGGCTGATTCTGGGCAACCAGGGAAATAGACGCCCAGGATCATTGAAGGGACCCTTCAAGCAGGGTGGGTGCCAGGGTAAGGCCCATGCCCCTCAGGTACTACAGGCTGAGGCTCTGAGCTCTGGGAATGGGGGTACCCTCTACAAGAGCCCAGAAAATGGGGGTCATACCTGGTTGCCTCCCTGCAGGTGCAGTACCAGTTGCAGGGGCTCTGATGTGACAATGGTGGCCAACACCTCACTCCAGGTCACTCTGTCATCTGACATTTGCAGGGGGCCACAGAGCAGGCTGGGTTGGGAGTCTTCAGTGGCTGACTTCTAGGGACAAAAAGGATAGGTCAGCTGCAGTCTCATGGGGAGCCCAGCCATTCAGGGGACCAGGCAAGAGGGAGAGATTAACTGGACAAAGAGCTGGTCCAGTCTGATCCCCAGGGTCACTGCAGGACCAGTTGGTATCAGGCTCTGTGTGTGTGTGTGTTTGTGTAATTGTGATGGTGTGTATGTGAGGTAACACCTGACTCCTGGATCTCATTTTCAGACTCTGGAAGAGAATAAACTGCTGCTTACATGGCCTAGTCTGTCATGTTTGTTATAAAAGCCCAGGCTGACTAATCAGTAATTCCAGTCTGCAAAACTGTGGTAGATAAGAAATATGTATTTGGTCATACAAATGACAAAATATATACATCTCTGTATTTGTCTTCAACAACAGTTGAAGTTGACTCATAGCTCCCAAAACGCTTGGAATGTTCTAGGTGTTGAGAGTGATAAAGATGTCTCTTATGTTAGAGAACATGTAGAGATTTGGGGAGAGGGGTGCAGCCAGAGAACATGGAGATGCCCTGCTTTTCCTCCAGACCCTGTCCTGTGTTTCTGTTTTGTTTGATGTTCCTGAGTGATATCCCCGCTAATAAACCAGTGCTCTAGTGAGTCAACTGTCTTTCTGAATTCTGTGAGCCATACTAATAGATGAATTAAATCTAAGAAAGGGTTATTGTAACCTCCAATCTGAAGCCAGTTGGTCAGAAACACAGGTAACAGCCTGGGCTTGTAATGGAGTCCACAGTGGGAGATAAGAGTACAGTTTGGGAGGTTGAGCCCTTTGCCTGTGGGTCTGGTGCTATCTCTGGTAGATAGTGCCAGAATTGGGTTGAATGCTTGGTCACCTGCTGGTATTTGAGCAATGCTGGGTTTTTGGTGTGGTGAAACCTCAACACACACCTACATTGAAATTAAGTCCAGGAATCTAGTCACCATCTAGCTCCTGAGTGCAAATGGCTCCCAAGACCTTGGCTGTGGCCAGACCCTGAGAATCCCCACCCAAACACATGTGTCATTTGGTGTTCAATTGTCAGCAGCTTCCAGGGTCATGGACCCCACTGAGTTTCCCCTCAGTCATCCTGGTCTCAGGGAAGCAGACAGCTCTGGAAACACAGTCTGCTCAGGCTGCCTCAGGAACTTCAGTCTGGGATGCTCATAGGACCCAGCCACCCACCTCAGTCCTCTGCTTTGGCTCTGTGGGCTCTTCAGGGCTGGGACTTGCAGGAGCCACTGACTGGGTGAGAAAGCACTCTCGGCAGACTCGGCTCTGTCTGCCATGCTCAGCCTTGAACTCAGAGCACTTCCCACAGATGACCTGTAAGGCAGAAGACACTGTGACCCACAGAAGACTGGTCAAGAAGGACTAGAAGGGCTGCAGGGGGGTAGAGGCAGACACGGTATGCAGAAGGGCAGTGCTTCTCTGTGATCAGAGGACAGAGAGCCCAGTGCTGGCCCCGCAGAAGTCCAGGACTTGCTTCCTTGCCTGGAGGGTCCAGGATCCATGGGTCTACATCACAGGAAGACACTCGATGTCACTAGTTATCAGGGACATGCAAAGCCCTCATGAGGGCATCTATACCCATCATGGCGGCGTGAACCAAAATAGGAAGCAAGTGTTGGTGAGGATGTAGAGATATTGAAACTCTGTGCCGTGTTGGTGTGAATGTAAAGATGTAATATGGTAAAATGGTACAGCTGCTGTGGAAAACAGATGGCATTTCCTCAAAAAATTGAAAGTAGAATTACCCTATGATTCAGTAATTTCTATGATTTCTGTTTACACAATTTCACAGGGTAAATAGAATTATCCCATGATTCAGCAAATTCAGCAATTCTGGGTATATGCCCAAGAGAATTAAAAGCAGGGACTCAAAAGGATACTTGCACATTTATGTTCTTAGCAGCTGGAGGGGTGGACTGATGGAGAGATAGGTAGAAGGATGGATAGATGGGGAATGGATGCAAGGATGGGTGGATGAATAAATGGATGGAGAGATGGGTGAATGAGTGGGGAGATGGATAGACAGATGGACAGATGAACGGACGGTTGGATGGATGAATGGATGGAGAGATAGGTGGATGGATGGATGACGAGGTAAGTGGATAGATGGATGGATCACCTCAGCCATCCTCTCTCTCTTCCTTCTTGAGAGAGGGCCCTCAGCTGGGTCCTCCTTCCAGCCCGTAGTCACCTTCAAGTTTCTTCCATAACAAGCCTCTCCTCCCATCTCAGCTAGGATTCTGGAAGTGCCATCTGCATCTCCTCCTCTTTAGCATCCACTTGTATCTTTGACCTCAGCATCTGTACCTCCTGACTGGCACTATCTTTAGTCAGACTGTGCCTCACACCCCCAATATCCCTTCCAGCCCTTCCCTGCTATATACAAGGCCTCTTATTCTATTTGTATTCGTCCAGATGTAACTGCTGGAACCTACACTCAAGGCCTCCTAGCAGTGCTTTCTTCTCTACTCTGACACCCAGACCTAAGCCAGAGGGTTGCCCTACTCCCAGTGTCTTAGCTTCTGAAGTGCCTACTAGTCCAGGAAGCCTTCCCAGACTTCCCCAAACTGGGTCTGCTTGGAGGTCATTCCATCTTGAGGCCATTCCAGCCTCGCCAGGTCTCCACCTGTTGGATGGAGAATGCTAACCTGAATGTGCAGTGTGTGGGTGCCCGCTGGACACTGACCTCCCCAACCTTCAACCTCATATGAGAAAGGACTGCCACCCCCTTTCCAAAGGCAACTCTTACCCCCTGATGTGTGACTCTGTGAAAGTTATGTATCTGATCCTCAGTTTCCTTGTCTGTAAAACTGGGTGGTTGTGAGGCTTTGGTGAACGTAGGTTGGAAAAACCTGTGTTGGGGTGCAGGAAGGCTCTGCAGCCTGCTCTACCATGGTTCTGTGGGCCTGGGATCTCTTGTCTGAACTCACCCTCAGGCATGACCCTAAGGGACTGTGATGTTGGGCAGTGATTCTCAGACCACAAAGAGAAAGACTATTCTTCAGCAAGTGAAGGAGTTCTTCTTCAGAGGCCTTGATTTTACAGTTTTGTTTTGTTTTGTTTTTTGTCAGTTTTCTCCTTTTCTTTTATTATTTCCTGTGTGAGGAGGGAAACTGAGGCAATGAAGATCAAACTAGCCCAGCAGGCTGCTGTGGACAGTCACCCACCAAGGTGCCAACCTCCATTGCTGGTGGTGAGCACAGACTGGCTGAGAGGACCCCAATTTGGGGGAAGACTAACAAAGGCTAGTGCTTTTGATCTCATATAACTAATGTTTGGAGTCTGCAAGGCAGAGGCAGTTCTTAAATTTTCTACTGAAGTCTGGTCAGGATTGAGTTAAATATCCCAATCCTGAAGAATACAAAGTGAACCCCAAATTGAATTCTTTGAGGGTTAGAGACTACCTTACCCATGTGTCTGCAATCTAACTATCCATCTACGCACCCACCCACCTATCCATCCACCCATCATCTACCCATCCTCTATACACCCACCCATTCACCCTCTATCCATCCATCATCCATCCATTCTACCAACCAGCCAGCCAGCCATTCATTTGAATGCTCATCCATTAATTCTGCCCTTGTCACAAGTTTTATGCAAGGGTGTGACGAGGAACATCTATGCAAGCATGGGATGCCAGTGGCCTTGGAAAAGTAGCTCTGGGGAAGCTCTGTGCTAGTACCCACTTGCAAACATAGATTCAGCTTAAATAATTTATTCTAAGAATGAGCAGTCCTCTCCTTAGGGATACCTTTTTCTTCCAATATTACACTAAAAAAAAAAAAAACATCCTGAGGAGAAGGATTTTGGGGATTGTGTGAAGAGGAATGGAGAGGGCTTGCTTTCAGAGACAGGGTCACATCACTTGGGGGGCCCCAAACTTATAGCACCACTGGAGAGCTTAGACTAAGGTGGCAGGGAGGTTCATCCACCAGGGCTGCACCCCGCACATTGCTCTGTCCCCTTCACCTCACATAGCATGAGGTCACTCTCATTCCTGTTCTCAAGTCACCCAGTTACTATGGGCGCTATAGTCCCAAAAGTCTTTAGACACCAGAGCTGAGCAGAGAAAGAAGACTGGTTTCCACTTCAGTTGGGCTATTTCACATCTGCTCAGGGTGACTCTTTGTCATCCCGGAGACACTATCTGGATGCATCCTTGCAGGGCCAGTGTGTATTTCGAAGTTGCCCAGTATCGCCTCCCTCCCCCGACTCACCACCCCACAGAGCTTGCAGTGGTGCCTCCTCTTGGTGATGGAGTTGAAGGTCTCCCCGCAGCTGCTGCAGCCCTGCTTCTCCTTGTCACGTCTGGCCTTAGAGGACCCTTTCCTGGACTCAAGCTGTAGGAGGAAAAGGCTGCAGTCAGCTTCTGAGCATGCACGGAGGAGCAGCTGTGTGGGACACAGTCACCAACACTCAGAGCAAAAAGCTGCTGTGGAAAGATGCAAGCGAGTTGGCCATGGCCCCCACCTCCCACCCCCCACTCCAGCTCCTGCTGTCTAGGTGGGTACAGAACTCTATTCTGGAATGAATGAGTCCTACTCGGAGGCCAGTACATTAACCTGGGGTGACTAATAGATCTCTCTTGCTGGGGGAATGTCGGCCCAGAGCCCAGGATAGGGATGTCACCTGCTCTGCCTGGGTGCTGGGGTGTTCTTGCACAGTGAGGCTCTCCTGCTCCAGGAGCAGAAGCAGGGCTCTCCTTTCTCCCTCAGGTGCTCCTGGCCTTCCCACTTGTCCTTTCAGCAGGCCAAGAAAAGAGAGCCCTTGCTAAGACACAAACCACAATATAGTCTGTGTTTTTAGACACTAACAGAGCCTTAGGACATGATACCCAAATACTAAAAACACTTTTGAATTTAAATAAGCTGTTTGGGGGCCTCCCTGGTGGCGCAAGGGGTTAAAACTCAGCACTATGAAGTTTCAGCAGCCACTGCAGCACGAGTTCGATCCTTGGCCTGCCAGGGAGCTGACCCACATGGCGCAGCAGACCTCTCCTGTCTGGCCTGCTGCTCCCCTCAGCAGTGGATTTCAGTAGATCTGCTTGTTCTGCTCCCCGACTCTGTCTCTGGTGAATCCTCTCACCCCACTGCACCTCTAGCCTATACCCCAGCCCTTGCATACATAAATAAATAAATCTTTAAAAAATAAATTTTAAAAAGCTGTTTGCAAGAACCACATCCCATCTCTAAGAGGGGGAAGAAGTGGGGAGTGGACAATGGGAGAAGGGACTTCATTTCACTCTATCACTTCTTAAAAGCATGCATTTATTCCCCTTTATAGTCAAACATGTGTTAACATATTTTAAAAATCTGATGCTGTCCAAACTGAAGGAGCAGGTTACATAATTCCTGTACACGAGGAGACTTGCAGAGATGTGTTGGGAGATGGTTTAAAGGGGTTGAGTTAGACTGCCCTTCACGTGGCCATGCCCTGTCCTGGATGAGATTGCTGCTTGGCTCTCAAATGCCTGGCACCCTGGGGAGGACTGGGTTCTCCTGGAGCTCTGGCTGCAATGTCTTGTGGGCACAGAAAACACAGCCAGTTCACCACAGACAAGAAGATTTTACAAAATGCCAAAGTTGCTCATCACACTCCCCAGGATGTCAGAGTTGGTAGAGCCACTGGCAGGGCTTCTTGTAATCTCTGCCACACACCAATAGGGAAACTGAGGTACTTGTCCATTTGGAAGAAAAACACTTAAAATAAGTTTAACTTTATGGTGTCTGAGCAAAGTAAAATGATGTCTGGGGTTTTTTTCCAGCTATTCCAGAAAAAAAAACAAAAAAAGATTGTGAGTGGCTGGGGGTGGGGAAGGCAGTTGAGACAATAACAGCAGAGTTGAAGTTTCTCCAGGCCGGGGATGTGGGGGGCAGGGGGCTCACTGTACTGTTATCTCTACTTGTGTGTGTCCAAAATATCCTTATTGAATTGAGAATAAAATAAGCTAAGAATATGTTTACCATAAATTCTGCAAGTTTAAGGAAGAAAGAGGTGAACTGGGTGGGGGGGGGCGTGAAAGGGGTGGCTTAGGTGGGGCTTGTTCATTGGGGACGCATACTGGTTGAATTGTGTCCTCCAAAATCAATACGTTGAAGCCTTAACACTCAGCACCTCAGACTGTGATTATATTTGGTGATCAGATCTTTAAAGAGAAAATTAAGGTAAAATGAGGTCATTAGATGACACTGATTCAGCACAACTGGTGTCCTTATAAGAAGAGATGAGGACACAGACATGTGAGGGACAACCACATGAGGACACAGGAAGGAGATGGGATCTGCACAGCAGGAGAAACTAATCCTGCCCACACCTTCATGTTGGAGTTTCCATCTCCACTACTGTTGTCTAAGTCAGCCAGTCTGTGTTACTTTATTACAACAGCCTGAGCTGACTCATATGGAATCTGGGTACAAATTCTGGCCTATGCTACCCAGCTGTGCAGCCTCTGATCACTGTCCACAATGCCCCCCCCCCCACACACCCCATCATGGGTTCTTCGATTGCGAGGCCAGTGCTGGCCACCCAAAACAAGGATCCCAGGGTGGACTGGCTCCTCCAAGGGTGACCCCTGGCTCCGGGGACATAAGATGTCCTTGAGTCTTCTTGATTTATTTCACAAAGCTCAGAACCACAAGGCCCTGCCAGGCAGAGAATGTACATCACGGCCTGAGAGGCAAAACTGAGGCCACACTTCTTCCCCTGGCCACTCCTGCTGCTGACTTGGCTGTCATGTCCCAGCAGCCTCTGCCCCCAGCCAGCCTTCAGTGTGATTCCACTGTGCCTGTTTTCCAGGTACAAATACCAAAGGCCTGGGAGGTGGGAGTGATCACTGGCAGGGTGACTAAACCCTCTGTCCTGCCTTTGAGCCCCAATATGTATCTCAGCCCAAGGACAGAACTACAACTCATGGGACTCCAAGCAGAAGATACAGCGAAACTGAGGGAAAAGGATGGGGAGAGGCTATCAGGTGTCCCCAAGGGACAGGGGCCAGACAGAGGGCTGGAGCAGCAGGCCTGACCCAGGAAGGATGGAAAAAGCTAAAGCAGGTAGAAGTGTGTGGTCAAGAGTGTGCCTCAGACAGCTCTCCTCAGGCCTTACAGGGAGTGACATAGGCTGGGGCCTCAGTCCCTGCCCACAGTGGAGGTGTGGCTGGGCTCCTCTGTCCTCATGGGAGCTCCAGGGGAAGAGTGTGGGGGCAGGGTACCCAAGCAAAGGATGGCTGGGCAGGGACTCACTCAGAACTGGGTGGGTGGAGGGGGTGGGGTTCCTGCATATTATCATAGTGGGTCTGGGGCTCCAGGAGGCCTCTCTTACCCTGTCATGTTTGTGCTTCTGCGAAGAGTAATGTGATTTTTGCAGAATGGGGAGGCTTGGATTCTGCAAGTCCCCCTTGCAAAACTTCCTTGTCTGGGTTTAGCATTTCTTAAGAGAGGTTTGCAGGAACTGTGTGTCTGAGGACACAGGGGCTACAGAAATCAGACCATCATACCCAAATGGGTTTGCTCTTCTTCTGCAATTGTGCTAAGAAAAGCTTACATCCGGTATTGTAGCTGAGGTCAATCTTTCTGGTGTCGGAATTAACATTCACTTTGGGGTGCCTTCCTCAAATATGAATGAGCACAGCCTGGGCTCACCCTGTATGGCTGGAGAACATGCACACCGAGCTGCCATGGGTCCCAGCAAACTGCTGACAGAGACAACACTAGGCCACGTGAATGGGGCCAAGCTGTCACTATTTGTTGTCGGGTCGGGACCCGCTGGGGATGGGTAAAGGGACAGGGAGGCTGGGGGGCACCAGGTGTCCGCAAGGAATGGGGGCAGACAGAGGCTTCCTTAACTTGGATTGTAACCCTAAGCACCCAAATGTCTGGGACACTGCACATTCCAAGGAAGACTGAGCCCTAGGGCAACCTGTGTGTCTACCCAGTGAAAAAGGACATCGCCAACCAGCATGTCTGCTGACCACAGCCTGACCTGGAGGTACCCCCAGACTTGGCTGATACTTGAGCCTTGGTGGTTCTCAGTTACCTTCTCACCTGTTAAAGAATGGGCACCCTCATGGCAGGCAGGCACCCACCCCGGTTTCTCTCTCATCACCCCACCCAAGATGGTTTGGGGTCAAGGGATGGAAATAGCCAAGACCCAGACGCAGGGCCTGTCCCTGGGAGGGTGAACTGTAGACAAAGCTGCTTGGGCCCCAGTCAGGTGCCCATGGTGTCCTGAGGCAGAGGGAGAAGACTCCAGTGAGGGTCTCTGGCACAGCCACCTCCCTGGGTCCCAGTGAGACCCTCCCTCCATCCTCCTGGCTTGACAAATGGTCAGATGCCTCCTCTAAGAAACTTTCTTTGAAGCACTCCTGCAGGCGCCCCTGGCAGGCCTCAGCCCTCGCCTGCCCCTTGTCCTGGTGCTGCCTTTCCCCTTTGATGACTGAGTCGCCAAGGGCTGGGCACCAACTAAATTCTCGTTTCATCCAGACATACTCATTTGAAATAGAAGCACAGCACCATGCCGACAGCACAACTGTGTGACCTTCCCCAACTAAGGGGATGACTTTAGGGCCAGGGGATCTGAGATCCCTCATTCTGGACCCAGATAATCACCATGAGGACATATCCCTGGACCCTCACCCTCAGGTCACCTGTCTGACTCAGGTCACCTATCAGACCTCAGATTACTCTGTCTGACCTCATGCTCTCCCCTGCCCTGAGAATAGCAAGTAGTCACTCACCACTGCAGCACCTGCTCCATCGACCATCGCTGCATACTCCTCTGAGCTGGTGCTCACTATCTGGAAGGACAGAAACAGCAGGCATGAATGGAAAGTGTGTGGCCACATGCTGATGCCAATGCAGCAGTGACCAATAAGACCCCCCAGTCCTTCCATCTGACCACAAATAGAGAGAAAGGCCTACAGGGCTTAGTATTCGCTGGGCCCTGGGGAGCCTATTTCTCCCTCCATAGTCCTGAAGGGGTCCAGAGAGCCATTATCCCTTAGAGCAGTGGGCAGGGCCTCACTGGCCACATCATACACTGTGGTTAGATGTGGCTCAGGGTCTCCCCTCCTCAGGTTCTATGGAGACCTCTGTATCCACAGAACTTTCATGGCAGGTGTGAATACATCCAGTCAAGGCAGGAGACAGCACTTTGGAAAGAAGCAAAAGGTGAGTAGCTATGAGTGTGTTTGATGCAAAAGTAAAAGCAGTAGCCTGGTCTGTATACTTGCTGAGGCCAATGGGAGAACCAACCAAGCCTGGGGTCTGGGACACAGGCTGCTGGGCTGGGTTGGGCTGGGTGTTCCCCAACTTCATGGACACTCTGGAGGAGGCATGGGGGGAAGGAGCCTCCCTCTGAAGTCCTACATAGTGGTACCAAAAGAGAGGATGTGGCTGTGGCTTAGAGAGGTCCCTGAGGGATGGCTCGCTGCTGCTGACATCCTGGGTGGGAACCCTGTCTTCTGGCTTCCCCAAGCTTGGGGAGACCCTGAGTGGGGATAATCAAGATGTTGATCTGTATCACCAGACAGGGATCCCTCCCACGAGCCCAGGGTATTGGCACTTACAGGAGAGTCTGGAGTGAGGGCAGGGTCCTCATCCTGGCCCAGGGAGCAGCCAAAGGCCTTGAAGGTCTGGCTGTTCTGCTTGTGCTTCTCAATGGTGGCCTGGATGACCTGAAAGGGACCAAAAGAACAAGGCCTCAGAGGTCTCAGCCAGGGAGGGGAGGGCAGGTATGTGCCTCTGTCCCTGAGGATGGGTGCATGGTCTCTACATCTCCCCCTGACCAACAGCCTAACACAAGTCATCTATGCCAAGCAGGTCTCCACCCCCAGCACCACTGTTCTGCCCTCTACCCCCACCCTCTTCAGTGCCATAGGAGGACACTTTCTGTGAAGAAGCTATATAAGAGTCAAGGTCACATTTCCATTTCCTATATCAGCAGTTCCACCTAATTTGAATTTCCCTTCTTTTCTCACCCAAATTCTAAGAATTCTGGAAGCCACATGTATTTAATGACTAGTGTTTGGCCTGGTGGTGGCCATGCTATACTTTGTGAGGCTCTGCTGCCCCTGGTCCTGAGATCCCCCTCTATATTGGCCCTCCTGACCTTTGCCCTGCAGGTTACAGCCTCTGTCCCATCATTTCCATCCTGGCCTATCCTGAGCCAAGCCCACTGTAGCTACCCAGGACACTGTCTGCCTCCCTGACTGGCCATCTGGAAGCACAGGCTCTGTCCTGGAAGTCAAGCTGCTCATCCAGCATGACCTGCCACTCCTGTCACCATGGAGAGAGGGCAACATCCATGGAGATCTTCCCAGAGGTAAGGGCAGCTTCCTACCTGCCACCTCTTCATGTCTGTTTGTAATTTTACTGGGGCCCCAGATAAGTGAATGGGTTGAAAGGCTTATGGCATCTGAAGGTGCTATAATGCAGTCACTCTATCATTTCAAGGCAGGCAGATGGGTGGGCACTGTGTGGGGGTCATGGGCCACCCATTGCTATGCCAACACAAAAAGGCCAGAATGCTCAAGAATTTGGTGATTTGGTTACTTAAAAAGTTTGGGAGCTTCGGGCCTCCCCAGTGGCGTAGCAGCTGAGTGCCGAGCTGCGAAGCTATCCACAGCCTCTGCAGCATGGGTTCGATTCCTGGCCAGCCAGGGAGAACCCCACATGGGTGCAGTAGACCTCTCCTGTCTTGCCTGCTGCTCCCCTCAGCAATGTCTTTGGTTCCTCTGCCTGTTCTGCTCCCCGCTCTGGCTCTGGTAAATTCTCTCACCCTCCCACGTTTCTAACCTGTACCCCAGTTCTTGTATAAATAAATCTTTGGAAAAAAAAAGTTTAGGAGCTTCACCTGAATCCAGTCTTTCTTCTCCTCTTCCGTCCTATAAAAACAAAAGCAGGGCAGGGGGAGGAGAAGAGGAATTAGGGTCAGAAAAAGGGAGTGGGAATTATATGGGGAATATAACCAAAATGAAAATGCATACATTATGCAAAAGTGAAAAATGATGTAAGAATTATATAAAATAAAATAATTCATAAAAAATACCCACTATGGGTAGAAAGAAGCTGGGTCCTAGGAGGCATTTGTAAGTCACAACAGAAAGGGTTGTATATGTTCAAACCATTTTTTATAACATAAATTAATAAATTCATGGAAACTAAAAAAAAAAAAAAAGCAGTGTTTTATTAAACTAGTCTTAGATACTGATAAACCAGACTCCTCTCAGTCCTGCAGTGCATGACTGAGCTGCTAATGGCTTCAAAATGCAACTCAAGGTTTAGAAGATTGGCCCCAAAGAATCTGGAACACTGTGGCCAGTGTAGCCAGCTGTGGTCAGGTGTAGCCAGGTGTGGTCTGTTGTGACCAAGTGTGGTCAGATGTGGTCAGGTGTGGCCAGGTGTGGTGTGCACAGCCCTTTGCAGTAAGTGTAAATTAACACCTCCCTGGACCATAATGGGCCATCACAAAGATCTCATATCATTAGCAAAAGTGAGACCAGCTGTCCCATTCCTGACAGGGTAGTGTGACAATAGCTACCAACACTTAAAGCAGGTGTGCTGCCCTTGGCCAGTATTCTATCTCAGGAATCCATCTTCAGATATAATGAAACAAATACAAAAAACCCTTCTGGGGAGGCCACTTTGCATTGGCTGCAGTAGTGACTTGGAGGAAACCTGGGTGACCACGGAGGAAACTGTCAGTGATCACAATGGAAAATTAGGTTGCTTAGGAAATGAGGTTCAGATATGGGAAGATGTGATAACATGATTGAAAGAGCAAGACACCAAACAAGCGATCCAGTATAAATGGCCATCTGTGACTTTAAAAATAGATGTGTATATATGGGCACAGAAATTCTGGAAGAAGAACTAAGAGGTGGTTAAGAGGATCTACTGGGGGTGGGGAGCAGGAAACAGAAGCTTAATTTTCACTGACTTCCCCTTAGTGTTATTACAAACCACAAATGAGTAAGTAACCATAAATAAATAAAAACACATAACCAGGTTGCCCAGTTTACAAAAAGTCATATGCTAAAATTTTAGGTCAAAGACAGTTGCACAGGGGCAGATGCTGAGGGACAGCAGGAGTACCGAGTCTGCAGCTCCAGGGACCTCTTCTTCCCTGTTATGACAAATGTGTGGGCTGCACTGCGCTTGGCCACGTCTTGTACCTAAAGCACATTGACCAAGAACAAAACAAAAACAGCCAGTCACTTAGCAGGTCTTGAACTTGTGGGTCTTTCCTGAGGAGGGACAGAGATGACCTTGTGACTGATACTACGTGAGCTGGTCCACACATAGGGCAGACCACGGTCCCACTGGGCAGGGCCAAGACCTCACATCCTTGTGGTTGAAACTGGGAAGCTGCTCGCTGACCGCTGCACAGCTAAATCTTGTACACCGAGATCTCCACAAACACACACATGTGCCCCAGAGAGAGGGATGGGAATCCCTGAAGAAGAGCTGGAGGGTCTCTACTGCATGAAGCACTTCTGAGCTGCAAAGGGCAAAAACCTTGAAGCTCCCCAGCCCTTGCAGTAGGATCCAGAGGTCCCACCCCTCTGGTCCTTGGCTGGATACCCCTTTCCCCCACTGCCAGAGGAGGGGCCCTGTGACTAGGTCATACACAACTCCCCGGGATTCACGCAGTAGGATCATTTCTTCATAGACTCCCACCCACCTATGTCACTGGAAGGATCACAGAGCTCACAGCAGGTATGGGGGACCCCAGGCCAATGATGTGAAGGTGCTTCGGGAGACAGGGGACTAGGTCCTGCCCAGAACTCTGGTAGGGCTTCCTAAATCCCTCAAGGTCAAGGTCAGATTTCTTATAGAGAAACAGTAGAAAAAATGATTTCTTCTAACTATAGGAAAAGGTAAATTTTTTCCAATTTACCCACCTGGAGCCCGGCAATGTCCATCTTCTCCCGGACACTGAACTTCTGACCCATGAGCCACAGTTTGGGTACACAGTAAAGAATCATGCTATTGAACTGCAATAGAAAGGCACTGGATGAGGGCAACCCCACAGAGGAGGTGCCCCGGGAGGGAGGCACTCCAGGGAGGGGTTTACCAGGGAGGAAAGGGGCAAGGTTAGGAGGGGTATGGCCTTGTGGCTTGTGGGGACAAGGCAGGGAAGTGGTTGTGTGGCAGGGGTAGGGGGACAGGAGTTGTGGCTCGGAGGCTGCAGCTGGGGGGATGGGGCAGTGCTCACCAGAAAGAGGTGGCGGTCCTGCGCAGTACCGTTCTTGGCTGATAGCTTCTGGATGTGGCCCTCCTTGATCAGCTCATTGGCAGGATTGACAATGTCCTCCTCCCCACCCAGTTGCTCGTACACCTCCAAGAGCTTGTGCATTTTCTCCTGTGAGAGATAGAGAGCTCAGGCAGCTGCCTGGCCACAAGGACTGAGGGCCTGCAGGGCTGCTGGGACCCAGAGATGCAGAGCCATGCCCCACAGTGATGGTCCCAAGCCATGATGGGGAAATGAGCCTACTGACAATGAGGGGGAAGGGAAAACATGGTGATATACATGTTGGGTATTGAAGGATAACTAGAAGTTCGCTATGCAGAGTCCAGTAAGTGATAACAATAACACAGTTGTTATGTGCCAGGCAGCATTTCATATACAATGTGGGTATGAACTCATTTAGTGCCAGCACCCACTCTATGGGATAGAGACCATTACTGTCTTCAATTTATAGAGAAGGAAATGGAGGCACAGAAGAGACAAGTGAGTCACTGGACATGTTTCAGCTAGAGAACTGGGACTGGCCTTCTGAGTCGCTGTGCTGCATGCTGGGAAGGCAGCATAAGACATTAGGTTGGGGGGGTCTTGTCTGCCATCAGCAGCTTTTGCCCTGGTCATTTCCTTCCCTTGCCTGATTTCCTGCTCTACCTTCAAGCTATGTAACCCAGGACCATCCTGAGACCAAACAATCCTAAGTTCACCTCCTCCTGGTCTCCTGGCCAGTTGGATGGTCATGTGGCCAACCACTCCCCTGGGTATGATGGGAGTGGGTCAGCAGCTTGGGCCCCAGCTCTGAGCTGAAACACTATCCATCCTGTGCTGTCTCTGATATTAGCAGGAGCCTGGTCAGGGGCAAGTACAGAACAGGCAGAGTTCAGCCTGTGGGAACCTCCATTGATGACCCCGTGGGAGCCTGAACCCACCATGCCACAGCCACCACTGTCCTTAGACCTGAGAGAGCTCAGCCTGCACATCCGGGAAGCAGATGTGCTGGACCTACTGTCTATGACACAAATGCAGGTGGATGTGGGGAAAAGGGGAATCAGATGGAGATCAAGGAGGAGCAGGCAAGGCAGGGCTGAAGAGTCATATGTATGGGGGGGTAGTGGCAGGGTGGAGGGAGGGAGCTGGGTGTGTACCCGGTGTGTACTGGGGGGGTGTGCACCTGGTATGTACTGGGGGGTAGGTGTGCACCTGGCTTGTAGGTGAACCAAGTATTCCTGGACCACAGCTAGTTGGGAGGGCTCTGTACAGGGAGTGACAACACTGGTCTAGATTTAATCTCGAGAATGGTGACCAGAGCTGGGAGAACGAGGTGGGGAGGCAGGGAAAGCTGGGTCGTGTTCTAGGTTGATTGGAGCAGTGGTCAGGTGACCCCCAGGTCATGGTTCTGCTGCCTGTTCTCCATGGTGTATGTGGTGGCTTCTGGTGGGGACTGTTTAATCTCCCTGTCTGTGGTATATCGTTATAGCAGCCAATCTACTAAGAAAGACTTTAAGAAAGAATGAGTGAGTTAATGATGGTAATTTGAGAGCTAACACTATGGTGGGTCCTGTTCTGGGAGTAATGCTGAGTGAACTGAGTGAATCACTTAATTTCCACTGCAGCTCAGTGAAACAGGTTCTGTCAGTAATCTGTTACAGGTGGGGAAACTGAGGCATAGAGTGCTAAATAACTGACCAACAATCACCTGCTAGTAAGGGGCAGGTCTGTCTAGCTCTCAATGAAGCCCCTGTCTGCCCTGGGGACAGGTGGTCCCCCTTTCCCTCCCACACTGCAGCAGGTCCCTTGGGGGGACCCTGGAGGACCCCCTCCTCACCATTTTGCGAATGGCGGTGTTGGAGTGGTTGGCGGCTGTGGAGATGAGCTCCAGGGACCCTGCAGGAGGAGATGCAGAGTCAGCTGCAGGTGCCTGGTGGCTCCACGCAGGTCCTGACCCTGTGTGGATGGTTCAGTCCTGCTCCCACCCTTACCTGCTCTGCTCTCAGACTTGGCATGGTATGTGTGTTGGGGGAGGGGGGGCGGGTGACCCTGCAAACATACACTTTTTGCTAGGGTTGGGGTCTGTTGGGGCCAGTGCCCCAACCTCCTGAGCAGGACCCTCCCCTGTAATGTCTACCAACTGCTGTTCTTGGATCAGGAGTATCCCATGAGGCACTTCTTGTTGCCTAAACTCTGCAGGAGCCCCTTCCCCAAAACCAGTGTCCCTCCCCCCTACACTGCAGTAGGTACAGGAGTCTCTGCCCTTAGAGACTCTTGGTTACTTCTGAGCTGTGTCTAAGGACCATCAGCATTCTCCCCTTCCTCTGTCTCCCTCTCTGTCTCGGCTTCTACCTCCCCACCTTCCTCTCTCTTCTTCTCTCCTGTTCTGCATCTCTCTGTCTCTGCTTTTTTCTGTCTCTGTTTTTCTCTCTCCCTCTGTCTCTGTCTTTCCCTGTCTCTGTCTCTCCCTCTCCCGCTGGGATTTGGTGACTAACTCTGCTCCTGTTCCCCAGGACCCAGCACTACTCACTCTCTGCATCCTTCCGGTCTAGGGCATTGCCTGGAAGCCTCTTCAGATAGTCCTTGAGCAGCAGCTCATAGCGCGGGATCCTCTGCACAGGCTCTAGCATGTGGTGCTGCAGTGTCAGGTTCCCGCACACCTCCTGCTTCTGTGGGGGGACAGACCAACAGTGGAGGCGCTCATAGACACACTCAGACCTCAGGTCCCACTCCTACTCTGCCCACGGTAGCCCTAGGAGGCTGCCCCAAGCAGCTGCCCCTTGCTGACTGCAGATAACTTTTTACAACAGGATAAATCAAGGCTGGGACAGGGCTGAACACTGGTGACCTGCCCTGAATCTGGTGCAGGCTCCTCCATATCTGTCCTCGCTGGAGACAATAAAGGCTTGGACAAGGACTGCTGGCTTCGTTCCTGAGAGATGTCCCCACTCCCGCTGGTACTTGGGCCTCAGCTAAGAGGCTGGGACTCAGCCCTTGCAGCCTCTCTGAGTGCTGTCACCTGCTATAAACTGAGAACCAGATTGGGATGGGGGACACAGCAGAGACCCTGTGACCCTACCTTGCCCAACACTCCTCCCAGACTCCCCATCTTCTCTGAAACACTCCCTCAGGCCCATCAGCACTTCATCCAGACCCCGATCTGACAGCTGTGCCCCAGGCCACATTGCTGAGTGCCATCACCCCATCTCTATGCTAGGTCCCCCTGTCCTGCTCCCTCACAGACTCCTCCCCTGAGGGGCCCTGCCTGCCTGCTACAGAACCTCTTGGCCCTGCACCTGACTGGGGAGCCACTGCAATCACCTCGTGGTCTCACTGGCACCTGTTTCCCCGCTCACCCGCCCTGTTGCTGAGCTCAGAGCCCAGAACAGGAGGCTGCATCTCAGAGGAGTCTAAGTGCCTTGGACATGACGCGGCTGGAAACTCCAGTCTGCAACCATTGTAAAGTCATCTAGTTTCCAGTGAGAATCAAAGGATGAGGAGAAACAGGATAGTTACAAGAAACTATAATATTTAACAGGGCAGGAAAGGTAAAATAACTTCTCTATGGGGAGGCTGGGCAGACATCCCAGATCAAGTGAGCAGAAAAGGGACAAAGGACTGTTGTGTGCTCCAGGCAGGACATGGTCAACACACAGCCTCACTCCTGGGACATTCCCGCATAGACACACAACCTGGTCCCAGCCATGGAGAAAATGAGGACAACGCAAGTGGAGAGATAACACAGAGGGCACAGAGGCACAAAGGAGATGAACTTGATAATGAATACAATACATATCTTGGGCTCTGGACCAGGAAATAAAACAGTATTGGCACAACTGGTGGAATTTGTCACCAGGGCTGTGGATTGACAGCGCCACTGCTTCAGTGTCAGATGTTCTGACTTTGATCACTGTGCTGTAGTTATGTAGAGAACATCCTGGTTCCCTCTGAGTATAAAGGGTTAAGACATGTGCAACTTAGTCTCAAAAGTTTCAAAAACAATAACTGTGTGTGTTTGGAGAAAATGATAAAGTAAACAAGAAAAAATGTTAACAGTTCCCTGTTTTTGCAACTTTCTTATAAACACTGGAAATTATTCCAAATAAAGGTCCAAAAATTTTAAATATGCCTTGGATTAAACCAAGGCAACCTCCAAAGACAAGGGGAACCCTGAATAGTCACGCAATCTCCACATTGTTTATGCCAGGGTTTCTCAGCTCTGTGGACATTCATCACTATAAATAACACAGACAAGGGAGGGAATCCTGGAGGCAGGAAAGATATCCAGGGGCACCTTGAATCCAGACCATGTCCAAGCCATTGGCACAGAGGGCTCAGTGCCCACTAAGCCCATTAGGGGAACAGTGAAGAATGTGTGTGTGCCTGTGTGTATAGATTTGTATGCACTATGTGTATACATGTGTTGTGTATTCTGTATGCATGTGTGTGCACGTGTGTGGAGGTGGGCACTGATACCATAATCTGACTGGAAACTATTCTGGGATAACATTTAAATTTTTTTTTTATAGAGGCATGTTTTATTTATTTGTTTGTTTGTTTTGTTTATACATGCACTGGGTACAGTCAGAAGTGCGGGAGGGTGAGAGAATTCACTAGAGCCAGAGCGGGGAGCAGAGCAGGGAGAAGGACCGTAGTACACTGCTGAGGGGAGCAGCGGGCGGCAGGAGAGGTCCGCGTGCCATATGGGACCCTCCTCCGGTGGCCGGGGAGCAGCCGGGGATCGAACCGGCGCTGCAGAGGCTGCGTGCAGCTTCGTAACCCAGCGCTCAATCGCTGCGCCACCGGGGAGGCCCACATTTAAAAATTTTTAAAGTGAAGTCATAACATTAAAAGAAAACATAAATTCTATACATGTGGGTTACTGTTATAAATGCATTTATTTTAAAAGTTTTAATTTATTAAAAATTCATTGAATATAATACTTTGGAGTTAATCTAATTAAGGAAGTAAAGGACATATATAAGCAGAACTATAAGCTGAGATTAAAAGACTTAGTGATAGAAGGATATGAGAGAACATCCCATGCTCACAGAAGGGGAGAATCAATATAATCAAAATGACTATCCTGCCTGAAGTGATATATATACATTTAGCACTATACCCATCAAAATACCAACAATAATGTTTTCAAAGAAATTGAATGAAAAAATTGAAATGTATATGGAACTACAAAAGCCCTCAAACAGAAAAGCAATCCTAAGAAAAGAGGAACGAAATGAACACATCATGTTACCTGATTTTAAGTTTTACCATAAAGCATCAGTATTAAAAACAATATGGTATTGGCATTAAAAAAATAGATATATTGATCAATGGAACAGAAGCAAAAACCCAGAGATAAATCCACATACACAGCAGACCTAATTTACAATAAAGCAGCCATGACCAAACAATGGAGAAAGTAAATGGTGCTGGGAAAATTGGAAGACCACACATAGAAGAATGAAGTGGGCTCATTAACTCCACATCCAAAAATAAATTCAAGTGGATTAAAGATTTAGATATAAGGCTTGCAACAATAAAATATGTAGAAGAAAACATTGGTGACACTGCAACCCAGGTTAAATCGTTCAACTGTTTTTGTTATAGATGTATCTCCAGGAAAGGGGAGGAGCATAGCAGCACAGTAAATGGTTGCCATTTTCCCTGGCCCTGCTTAAAAGTAGTTACATTGGACTACAATTCCCAGCATGCCATCTTGAATGGGGGAGCAGTTGGGAAGGAGTGAGGTAAATATGCAAATTGAAATGGAATAAAGGGAGAGAGACAAAAGGAAGAGAGACACTTGAAGGAGAGACACATGAGTGAGATCCACATGGGGAGGCTGTTCTTGGTCCTTGGCAGAGATAATGGCAGCAGTTATCTTGACCTGATGGTGGATTACATGGTACAGTTTGAATTTCAGGTATCTCCTGTCCTAGCTCTCTGGAACCTACCTAACCCCTTTCTTGTAGTGTCCACTGGAAGGTACCATAGATTATGTTAAGTTTTGGGTCTCAGCAGTCCTACTTTGGGCAGAACCTGCTTGACTGGGCATTTGTCAAGGAGAGGATGGATTAATTTTTGGAGTTTTATTTGGAATCTGTTAATTGAAATCCTTTCTTCTCTCTTTGCACACCAATTCTATTCTATTCATACCAGTTAATCTGTCACACTAAGGGTCTGCTTTCTTTTGCCTTTGAATGTACATGCACCCCTTAACAATTTGGGGCTCCTGGGTACTTCTCTGTCATACAGTTACACTTTCAGACCCTAAAGAGCACAAGAAAAGAAGTTATCTCTCTTTCTCTCTGAGGCTTGTATTTACAGATATAGTAATAGCAACAGCTTTGAGCTGGACTCCAGGGCCAGCTGGAAACTGAAAACACAGAGAAAGAAGGCACTAAGCACAAGTGGGGCACCTTTGAAAAACTGAATCCTGGTCCTGACTCCTATTATCAACAAAATCATTTCTAACTGGTTTGGATGGACGATCACTGTTACTATAACGTGCTTATTTCTTTTGATCTTTGGTCCTTGTCTCCTAAATTACTTAGTTCCCTTTGTCTCCAAAAGGCTGGAGACATTAAAACTTCCAAATAGTTATAATTCAAGCATATAAACAATTGGGATTACAACCCTGTGACTGATAGTCATATCTCAAGTTAGGAAGGGAAAGATTCTGCTCTTCTATGGGCCCCCAAACGTCTACCCCTATTCAGCAAGTAGTGGTTCCAGAAGACCAACCTCCTGTCCATTGGCCCTCAAGGAGGAACAAGAGGAGGAAATTGTTACCAGCTTGGTAACCATGAGTCCCTTGCCCTATTTGTCCTTGCTGTGCTCCTGTTTATCTTTTCTTTTAGACAAAGCCAGAAAAACAGCTGAAACTGAGATAAAGGTAGAAGTGAGACAAGGGTTAAGCCACAACCCTTTATCATAGTAAAAAGCATGCCTAGCACCATGACAGATCCAGTCAAGACCAAACTTGTCAGAAAAGGGGATGTGAATGCAGCTCCTGGAACACCTTATCTATTTCTCAGAAATTCTGCTGACACTGACCTTTTAGCCTCTCCCCTTCCTTAGTACTCTCCCATGTAAATCCCTTCATCTCCTCATTACGGGGAGATGGCCTTTGAAACAGTAGTCTGCCCTGTCCTCAGTTTTGCTGCACCTCATTAAACCTGATTTTCTTCCACAAACTCTTGTCTCTCAAGTTTTGGCTTATAAGTGACAAGTAGCCAGACTCCCCAAAACTCTTATAACAATATGTTCCATGACATCAATGATAAGGATGATTATAAATTATTGCTTTTAAAAGATTAAAAATGTGGCTAATTAAAAGTCAAAAATGTGTGGAAAGCTATTAATAAGTTAAAATACAGGAGATCAATGGGGAGAAATTATTTTTAACATGAATGACAGATGATGGGTGACATTCTCAGCATATAAAACCACGTAAATCAATAAGAAAAAGACCAACAAGCCAGAGCTGTGAACGGGGTGTTTGCAGAAAAAAAGAAAGGGAAAGACAACCTTTTCCTAAATTCATGCACTGCTGATGGAGGCACTGTGGAGTGAGAGGCAACATTTGAATGCAGATTCCATGAAATACATTTGTAAAGTTATCGACACACAACCTCTTTGGTTATGATTTCCCCACCAGTGAAACAAGAATGATGGTTTATCTCTGGGAGTTATTTTTAAGGATCAGAGCATCAAGACAGCATCTGGACATAACCCTTACCTTTACTGATTTTCTCCATGTTCCAAATTTTCAAGAATCATATATATTACACTTGGAAGTGAAAAGACAAATTACAGAGGAACCCAGCCCCAGGCCCCTGAGGTCATCGCAGGCCCTACCTGGATGCTTTGGACAACATCTTTAAAAAGTGGTGAGCGCTGGGTCCAGGTGCTCACGAGCTCCACAGCTTTGTCGAAGTTCTTCATGTATTCCCCATACATTTTGAGGAACGGGGCCAGCTTCTGCAGGATATCCCCAAGCCGGGGATTTGTGTCCCTGTGTGAGGGATGAGATCATAAGAAATGGCTTGGATGAGTACAGGGACTCACCAGGGGTCACATGACAGGACCAAGTTCCAGCTCGCTATGATGCTGGGCAAATTGGTCACCCTCTCTGTGTCTTCTCCCACTGTCATGTGAGGTGTTAAATATATGAAGATAATTGTGAGGTGGAGATAACTGAGAGGGCTGTAGAAAGCAGCACAGAACTGTTGCTTAGAATCAGAGTTAGTCTCAGTGCACCACTCTGATGACAGGCCCCAGTGATCAAAGAGAATCAAGGAAACCCTGATTACTCCTTTTCTGAGTAAGATTAGGAGCAATGGGAATTGCCTCATGGGAAAACACACTGCATAATGCTGACAATGATTTGAAAGTAAGTTTCAAGAACCCTAAATACATGTTAATAGTTTTTGACCTTAGAACTGTTGGCAGGACTGGACAACCCGGCCAACGAAAAGTCCCTGGTACCCTCGAGAAGAGGAAAGCCCAGGTGGAGTCTGAGACCAACTTGTTCCAGAAGCCTACACGGACTGGATGTCAACAGTTCGCTCTGAATCCTATATGGAGTATTCCAATGAAGCCAGCTAAAAATTGCTGCTTAGTTATTCTGCCCTGTGATTTTATGCAAAAATAGGCAATATGGTTTAAAAGTAGATTTAGTTTGCAAACTTTTGCTATGCTGTTAAAAAAATTGGGGATCAAGGTTGAGAGAATTTGTTTTTACATAAGTTGAACCATTTTAAGATTTTTTTTCCTGTGATTTTTGACATATCTGCTGTCTTGTTCTGGCTAATGCCTCCAGATGTTTTCTTTCGGCTGGGACTGATGAACTGTTTTTCCAGGAATGGAGGACTTTTGCTTTCCACAATGGACACTACCTGGAGGGATTCGTTTTCTTTCAGACTGGAACCTTGGAAAATTTTCATCTGAGACTGTATCCCAGCATCCATATGTTTGATCTTCAGCACCATGGAAATGGTGGCAAAAAAGTGAAAGGGGGGAATTGTTAGGGGGAAATGATGTCCTGAGTTAATCCCATACAGGCTTTGTGGACCCCACCCCGACTCCAGACTAAAGCCATCAAGACATTGGGAAAGACAAATCCCATCACCACCAAAGGGAGGGTGGCTGGGACCTGAGGGTGGAGTTGGGCAGCCAGGTTGGATATAAAAATCAAACACGTGGGCCTTGGGGTCGCTGGCTCGCTGGCTCGCGATCACTCGCCTCCTGGCTTCACCGCTCCTGGCTGGCGGCCAACTCTGAGAGCACCATTTTGGGATTCCTGATCGGCGGATTGGGTAGGACTCATTTAAAACTTTGTCTCCCACTTTTCTCCCAGAGCTGTACATTTCCTCATTTCCCCTTCCCTTGTAAATAAACCTTTTATTAACCTTTCGCGTGTGCCTGCAGTAGAGCATTGATAAGTCCTTTTAAGCACGTGGGTGAGGACCCACAGTCAGGCACCCCGTTTTGTATCGGGGTTGCTCTACAACAGAACTGCTGGTGATTTTTCTTAAGAAATAATCAAAAAGAAGGGGGAAGGGCAAACACAGAGTCATCTGCTGCAGTGTTACTGGGAAAGGATGCCCAGGATTGAATTCAAAGGGCCACACCTGAGAAAGCAGTGGCAGGTGGCCAGACTCCTGCACAGGATATACAAGGAGATGTGTAATGTGCATGTGCTGAGCCTCTCCAGGGCCCCAGGGTTCCTGGGAACCTGTGTCTAGCGTATATGGGTCAGCTAGAAGGCCAGTTGGCCTGAACTTTAACCAATGGTCTTGGGGACATGGTATAACCTGCTCCGCAAGTGGAGCGTGTCCTTTAAAGATTTACAAATTGACTGGATCCCTCACTGAGGCTTGTGCCACCCCCAGTGAAGTCCCTGAGCTCCCACTCTCCCTGGTCTGGCTGCAGCTTGGTGCTGTTGCAGGACTCCTGATGTGATATTCCCAAGGTCACACACAGGAGAACCTCACACTGGTTCAAGCTAGGCCAGTGAAGCAGGGCAGGAGGCAGAGATCCCCAAGCAAAACTGCAGGAGCACTCAGAACAAAGGGAAGGAGTATATGTAACATGGAGAATGTTACGTTGAGGGCCACACTGGGATGTTATATTATTGTGATTCACAGCTAAGCTCTTCCTCTACTAAGAATGAACAGAAGTGGCAGAGGAACAGTTCACCGGGGCAGTGGGAGGATCCAAGGTGCACTGTTGAAGGGGTAAATCTCGGTCTTTGAAACAAAGGTGGAGTGTTCCCTGGGAGGGAAAACAAGCCTCTGCCTCTGCTGATTTGCTGTTTGGTGTTTGCAGATGTCAAACCTCCTCTAAATCCCATAAAGCCTTGGGTAGGCATTAAATTTACTCTCACTTGCAGATGAAGACACTAAAGCTTGGCACCACTAAGAAGATATGGGGGTTTGACCCAAGACAAAGCAGAAAAGGAGCCCTGACACCATGAGATAGGGCCTCTATGAGCCTGCCTGGCTTGTAGGCATGTAAACCCCAGATTTAGAGCCAATGTGGCAGGGAGAAGTCAACTGAACTGCTGTGACAGAATCACATGACTCATAACCACCAACACTACAGAGCCAACCACCCCACTACCAAGAGGTGTCAGCCTCCCACTTCCTGGGTGTTATGAGTCTTACTCACCACTCCTTTGTGATGCGTTTCTGTAGCTCAGGCAGGAGGAACTGCCCATGGAAGCAATAGATGGAGGAGATGTTAGAGAAGATGCCTGTGATGACTTCTGGAGGGATCCCCGTTTCTGTCAGCTTGGTGCAGAAAACCTGGGTACAGAGGGTCCCACATAATAGCCACTGAGCATAGACCACTGTAGGGGGTTTCCATAGTGCCTCTGCTGCAGTATGGGGGGGTTCAGTTTGGGAGATACCACTGTCATCTCTTGTTTTCTTATTTCCTCAAACTGGTGCCAATAACCTTAAGGTCTTAAAACAAGCTTAAATTGGCTAAGGACTGGGGTAAGGCAGGGAGCAAGCCCTGTGGACAGGGACAGGCATTTCCTCCACCCACATCGCATGGGAAATTCAGTTCCTATTTCTTTTCTTTGTATGTGAGTTACAAACAGAAGCAATGGCTGTCAAAACCCTGGTTCCATCAGAGCCTTGTTCCTATGCTCATAAGCCCCATGTTGCCACAGGGAAGGGATGAGTGCCCCTCCCCACATCTTGGTTGTTGAGGCAGAAAGATGGCCAGAGGCCATTTATTTGTCAGACAATGTGACTGCCAGGAAGAAAGGACCCAAGATGACCAGACAAGATCTTAGTCTAAAGCCATAGTTTTGAAAACATAAAGTATGTTTCTGGAGAAGGTTTAAATTTACCTGAGCTTTAGTATTGAAATTATTCATAATGCAACTGGAAGGCCTAGTCAATGCTAGAGATAGGGTGATTACCTCTGGAACTTCCTGCTAAAGCTCTGGAAGTGGACATAGGTAGGAACTGGGTCATGTGGTACCTGGTCCAGCAGATGCAGGCGCTTTACATAGGTCTCCTCAGTGTTCAGGAGTTCCTGGGCAATGTGGAGCAGCTTCTGGGGCTCAGAGCACTGCAGAGAGAGGAGACACAAGAGATCAGAGATAAATGAAATAGAGAACAGGCAAATAATAGAAAAAATCAGCAAAACTATGAGTTGGTTTTTTATAAAATCAGCAAGATCGACAAACTCTTAGCTAGATTAAGAAAAAAAAAGAAGACTCCAATGGTTAAAATAAAAAATGAAAGAGGTAATATTAGAGCCAATGCACATAAACAAAAAGCATCATAAGAGACTATTGTAAACAAATGAATGCCAGCAAACCTAGAAGAAATGGATAAATTCTTGCCAACACACAACCTACCATGACTGAATCACAAAGAAACTGAACATCTGAACTGACCAATAAGAAGGAAAGAAACTGAAAAAGCAATGAAAAAAATTTCCAACAAAGAAAAGTCCAGAACCATATGGTTTCACTGGGAAATTAATTTCAATCTTTCTCAAATTTGTCCCAAAAATTGAAAAGGAGAGAACACCTCCAAATTCATTTTATGAGGTCACCATTACCTTGATACCAAAGTCAAACAGACACTACAAAAAATGAAAGTGATAGATCAATATTCTTCATGATTAATGGTGCAAAAACCCTTAGCAACATACTAGTAAACCAAATCAGTAGCATATTAAAGGATTAAAATCCATGACTAAATAGGGTTGTCCACAGAATGCAAATATGGTTAACATATGAAAATCAATGTAATACACCACATTAGGAGAATGAAGCTGGAGGGGAACCACATAATCATTTCACTTGATGCAGAAAAATCATTTGACAAAATTCAACATACAGCAGTTGCAACCCCAGTGCCTGGGATGAGGGTGACCTACCTTGGCTGGGTCCATGTTGGCCCTGGAGGGGTTGTTCTCAAGTTCAGGCTCCTCGATGCAGCCCTTACCCACATCACTGTCAGGGTGCAGCCTCAGGACAGTGGGGCGTGGGACCACCTCATTGCCCTCCTCACAGGGAAAGTGCTCATCCGCTATGCTGCAGGACGGGCTGTCGATCCCACTATCCCGATTGGGGATCTTAATGTCGCCACTTGGTTCCCCTGTGGGGTCTGTGCCCCGGGTGCCATCCGTAGCAGCTCTGCTGCCAGGGTTCCCAGTGGCTGGGTCTTCATGGTGTGCTCCAGGCCCAATGGGGAACATTCGGAGCTTCTCTAGGTCTGCATTGGGCAGCTCCAGGGAGGCATTGCCAGGCCCCTCCAGGGTAGCAATGGAACTTGGGGGTACTAAAGATTTCCTGCCTGGCTCCATTTTCAAAGTTTACCAAACTCCTTGGGGGGCTGTCCAGAGGCTTCCTGTCAGAGAAAAATGAGCACAGTTGAACACCAACCAGGCTGTCAAACAGCCCCTAGGTACAGGCCCCAGGAACAGAACATCAACCTGGAGGGGGCCTAGACTATGTGTCAGTGAGCACCCCATCAGTTTCAGCTGGATCCTACATAGACAGGTTTTTGGGAGAATGATAAATGGAAGGTATTTTATTTTAAAAGTAAATTCTTCTACAAGGAAGGAAGGAGGGGAGGGAAAGAGGAAGAAGGGAAAGAGGGAAAGAAGGAAGGAACAGAGGAAAGAAAAATCAGTGAATTGAAAATATATGTGCAACATATTAAAAAAACTAGCAACAACAAATGTTGGCAAGGATGTGGAGAAAAAGGAACTCTCCTGCACTGCTGGTGGGAGTGCAAACTGGTCCAACCACTATGGAGAGCTGTGTGGAGATTCCTCAACCTGCTAAAGATAGAGCTTCCATATGATCCAGCAATTCCACTCCTAGGTATTTACCCAAAGGGCACAGAAACATTAATTCCAAAGAGCACCTGCACCCCTATGTTTATAGCAGCACTATTTACAATAGCTAAGCTATGGAAACAACCCAAATGCCCAAAAATAAGATGACTGGATCAAGAAGATGTGGTACATATACACCATGGAATATTACTCAGCAATCAAAAAAGATAAACACATGCAATTTGCAGCAACATGGATGGAGCTGAAAGGGATCATGCTCAGTGAAATAAGCCAGAAAGAAAAAGTACCGGATGGTCTCACTCATAGCAGGAATCTAAAAAACCTAAATAAGGGACCAGGAAAAAGAACAACTATAAGAAAGAAAAAATCAAGATCAACAAACAACTATGAACCAGAGACACACTATGGGGGGAGGGAGGGATTGGGGTCAAAATAAGGGGGTTGCAATTATATGGGGAATATAAAAATAAAATTTAAAAAAAAGAAAATATATGTGCAAAATAATAGCACATACCTGTGAGCCCAGGGGCATCTGTCTGTAAGGTACTTTTATCCTTTGATTAGGCTCTGAGGGGAGGCAGGGCCCATTGGGACCCCTTTATGTCATTATCCCTATTCTGTCTCTACCCTCACTCTTCCTCCACCCCCTCACATCCTATTTCTCCTGGAGCCTCTCTCTGACAAAAGTCAGTTCAATGTAATTCTAGGTAACAGAGAACTGCGGAGTCGCTGAGGAGGGTCAAAGGTGAGGCTGACACTCCCAAATCTTCCTGTGGGCCCACAGTGAAGATGCAGGCCAAGAGCCACATGACCAATCCCCAAGAGTTAGGCCGGTACCTGAGGTGGTGGGTGTCAGGTCCTGCTGTGTTCCCAGGGTTTGTGCACAGTTTGCAGAAAATCTCTTTCTTGTCCTGTAATTTTGAAAGGAACAGGTCAGGAAGTTCTAAAAACACAGGTTGGGGAGTGAACCATCTCTGTGAGGGCACAGCAGCAGCCAGGGCTCAGGTGTGGGCCTAATAAGAGAGACTGGAGAGGCAGGTCCTGGAAGTCAAGAGGCTGCAAGGACAGAGCACCTTCTTCTTGGCCCCCAATACTGGACACCAGCAGCAGTTCCCCCATTTGCAGTATCAGAGCCTGGCAGCAAACTTGGGGCCAGCTCTAAGCCTGTCTCCAGCTACATGGCTTCCATACCAGGGAGGAGAATTCCCTCAGTGTGCAGGCCCAGCGCAGATCTCTCCTGCCCATAATCTCCCAGCACCCCCACATTCATACTGCACGCGGCTGTTCACACACACACACAGACCCAGGCCTGACCCTCATGCCCCTAGGCTCAGCGCTGTGGGAAGGGAGCATCAGTGCCTCCTGTGTTCATGGTGTGACTGGTAACTCAGTGGGCACCAGCCCATGTGCAACAGACTCCTGTCCTCTCTTTCTCTCATGGCCACGGTACTGAGAGTCTTTTCAACCAGCATCGGAATCAGTGTAGAGCACGTTCTCAAGGGCCACTGCCACATTCTTAACAAGCTTAATGGGGAGAAATATTAAGATTTCTAAACAGAAAATACATGCTTTTCTGCATTCTTCTCATAGCACAGGAGATAAACTCAAGTTTCCAGAAATCAGACATTACATAACCATTAAAATATGTCTGCTGGAATGTGGTCCATGGGCTCAATCTCATGTCAGATGAAGCCCTCTGATTCCAGGTGGAGCCTACTGAGAACTGAACTCAGGGGCTTCTGCTTCTGGTCAAGATGGGGTAAAGAAATCAAAGGTATCTTCTCAAGGAAGGATAAAATGCAAATTAACCAAAGGAAGGATAAAATGCAAAACAACAGCTTGAGAGATGAAAGCCACCTACACCAGGCAGGAAAGTGCTACCTGTGAGGTGGAGTCAGTCTTCTGCTGCCTAGCTACCTGGTGAGGGAGAGACTCCAAGCCAAATCCCTGAACCCTGAGTGAGATACAAAGAGAGTCTGGAAGATGCGGGGAGAGCCCACACAGAGAGGAGAAATAGAAAGCAGAGAGGCCCAAGGACCGCTCTGCACAGGCTTGCAGGGAAAACAGAATGGAGCAGCAACTGGCTGAGGGAGGCAGAGGAATATCCCCTGAATATGCCCATCCCACCAACCCAACTGGAAACCCCAAGGTCTATGGCCATAAAGTTCTCAGAAGGGTCTCAGTAGAGTAGTAATCCCCACAGTGAGCTCTGCTTGGGTCCCACCTAACAAATAATGACAAATCTTAACGGTGTCAACTGCTTACAAGCAATTAGACTTTGTCCGTGAATAAAGCTAGGAGCACAAGTATATCCAGTACCAGCAAGGGGAGAACCACAATGTCTAGTATTCAGCCAGGCACACAGAGGGTGGGAATGCATTACCCTAGCCAGGAGGAAACACCAGAGATTGAAACTGACCATGGCAGACAGCTGCAGTGCAAGAGGCAGCTGCAGTGCCTGTGTGTAGTCATTTCCCAAGGTCAGTAGGAACTGGAAGACATAAAGAGAAGCACCTCAACTTGTAGATGTGAGAACCACAAAGTACAAGATCAAGATACACTGGAAGGGCGCAGTGGCGCATCCCCAGTGGCGCAGCGGGTTGCGCACAGTGCTGTGAGGCTGTCCACAGCCTCCGCGGTGCCAGTTCAATTCCCGGTCGGCCAGGGAGATTCCTACATGGCGTGGCAGACCTCTCCTGTCTCACCCACTGCTCCCCTCAGCAGTGTATTTCAGTCAATCTGCCTGTTCTGCTCCCCACTCTGTCTCTGGTGGATTCTCTCACCCTCCCACGCCTCTGGCCTGTACCCCAGTGCTTGTATAAATAAACAAATCTTAAAAAAGAAAGATACACTGGAAGGGATGAATGGCAAATTAAACATGGTGAACTTGGAGAGACAATAGAAGCGATCCAAAATGAGAGACAGGGAGGAGAAAGAGAAGAGAGAGAAAGAACGTAAGTCAGATGTAGGAAACTTCAAGCAATATGATATTCATGATCACAGTCTCTGTATGTATCATGGGAATCCCCAAAACAGGATTGGCAGGAAAAATACTTGAGGAAATAATAATTTTCCCAGTTTTTTTAAAAAAAAAATTTTTAATTAATTATTTATTTATACAAGCCCTGGGTACAGTCAGAAGTGCAGGAGGGTGAGAGAATTCACCAGAGCCAGAGTGGGAACAGAATAGGCAGACCAATGAAATACACTGCTGAGGGGAGCAGCAGGCACGCTGGAGAGGTCTGCACGCCATGTGAGACCCTCGCCGGTTACCGGTGATCGAACCAGCGCTGCAGAGGCTGCAGGCAGCCTCGCAGCCCAGTATTCAACCGCTGCACCACCAGCGGAGGCCCTAATTTTCCCAGTTTTGATGAAAACTATAAATCCACAGATTCAGAATTGTGAAAAATCCTGGTTAAGCTGCCTGCCCCTGCTTCAGTGCTTTGTTGCAGCAGCCTGAAAAACTAATATAACTGGTTTCTAATTCCTACTCAAACCATAACCCCTGACCATGAGTCCAGCCTCTAGTAGGGATGTGCCATCCTTTAGCTATAAGAGCTCAGGAAAGGAACATACATGTTTGTGCGCATACATGCACTTGTCCATATGTGTATACATGGGTGCACATGAATGTGTGCAAATGGATATGTGCATATTCACATGCCCCCATGAATTTTGCGTGTGCATGCATACACCTGTGTGCACATACACATATAAATGCATGCATGTGATTACACATACCATGTGCAGGTACCATACTGAGTCCTCTCATATACTTGCTGTCCATCACTGTGGTGAGTGATGATCCATGTTTCTGGTAAGCACACTGAGGCTAACCCTGAAGGGAACAAGCACAGGGAGCTGGTCCCTCAGACCTGTTGCCCTAAAGCCCCTGGGCTTGAATTCTGGTTTACTCCGACACAGCCAAGATTGGGGATCTGTCACCACATGATCCTAAGGAGCTATTTGGGTCTCTCTACATTGTCTCTCTCAGCTCTCCCTGTAGAAGTCTGAGATGCCAGAGTTAAATGAGGTCAGCTCCTGCCAACCCCAGGTGAGCCTTCCCAAGATGAACTGACCCCAGGTGAGTAGACCCCAGATGATCAGACCCTAGGTGAACAGATTCTAGCCAAATAGACCTCAGGAGAGCTGCTGCCCCCAGATGAGCTGTGCCTGCTGTAGGACTCAGTAAAGGCCTGAAGACCCTTATACATAATGCCCAAGGCTGCCACTGCCCAGCATTAAAGGCCCACATGGGACTGAGGGATGTGCAGGAACCACAAAAATTTGGCCCAGGTCATCATGGACCACTTATATGAGTGGTATGATTACACATACCATGTGCAGGTGCCATGCTGAACCAGACCTACAGATAGGCCACAAGTTGGCCTGCTACCCAGCTCCATCTGCCACTGGATGTCCCTTCCTCAGGAGCAGCTCAGAAGCCCCCCTTAAACCTTCATCTCATTGTCTCTCTTGCTGTCACCTGGCACCCTGTGGCCCCTTGTGGGCAGGGAACTGTTGGCTTCAGTACATGGGGCCCCACTTGACTCACATTACAACATGGATGAAACGTGAGGACAAAGAAAAGTAAACCAGTGACAAAAGGATTCCACCCATATGTGGTCCCTAGAACAGTCAAGCTCACAGAGGCAGAAAGTAGAAGGGTGGAAGCCAGGGCCTGGGGGAGAGGGAGTTAGTGTTTAATGGGGATGTAGTTTCAGTTTGGGAAGATGAGAAAGTTCTGGTACTTTACACCACCGAACTGCTCGGAAATGTGGTAAAGATGGTAACTTTTAGGCTCTCACTCCTCCCCTTCAGTAGGCCACCATATCTTCTCATTCAGCACCAGCCTTGTCTCTGAGAAATGGTGGTGAGGTAGTAGTGAATGTGCTGGGTGCCTGATCACCAGGCTGCTCTGAACTCTGCCAGAGTGGATGCTGTGGCAGTCAGTGACCCCACATTGACTTATTTGCCTGGTCTACATGCTCTAGATGGTTCTGCCCGTGACGAGCTTGGTGATCCATCTCCATCTTCAGGAATGAGAGCCCCCAACATCAAAGGGGTGAAGCTGGGGCTGAAAGTATGGAGGCACTGGAGTCCTCACTGCTTGCACATGCTGGGGCTCGAGGGAAGAGCACACCAAGGATCCTAATCTCTCCCCTCTGCTGTGGCCCCTGTGGTGATAACCGTGAAAAGCATGACAATCCTTCAAGACTATCCTCTCCCAGCCAAGGTCACACACCACAGCATTGGCATCTTGAGGACTCCTAACAAGTCCACGCTGTTACCACCATTCAGGAAATCAGGGATGCCCCTCTAGGAGCTGTGGCATGTTGATTGAGGGGCTGCCTGGAACCTGGCCCTTGCTCTATGGGCACTGCCCTGGCTCTGAGCTGAACAGAAGGTTCACACAGGCCTCTGCATCTCCGCCCCAATGTGGGTCATGGATCTGGTACACTTTGAGGACAGGTGTGCACAAGCAAGCCCTTGGGCTTAAATGGAACATCTACTCCTCCATTTTTCCCCAATTCAGGGCTGAATCATCAGCACTGCCCCAACCAGCACCTCATGAAGCTCATTTCCTGAATGACAATGAATTTGGCTACAGTAACGGTGGGGTGGGAAAGGGAAAAGCCCCTGACCACCAACCCCACAAATGCAGGGGCCCTCAGCTGCTGCTGGGGAGTGGCCCTCCCAGATCTACCCTGGCACTGGGATCCCCTGTTCAAGTTTCATCCCAGACCCCCTGGAGGGCCATTTTAAAAAATTTTAAAAAAGAAAGCATTTCATAAATGTCAGAAGTTCTGTGAATTAGCACCAGGGTGACAATAATTCGCAAGCACCTAAGGCTTACTCCCTGCCAGCACCCCAGTCACCCTGAGCCTTGACACACCCTGCCTCTTTTCCTCACAAACACACCGGAAGCCCCAGCCCATGAGCACAGTTGCAGCAAGGCCCCCACTCCTGCCCCAGCCTGCACTGCCTGTGAGCCTCTCACTGCCACCTGCTTCTCAGGAGCCCCAGCCCAGGATGGGGCACAATGACAGGGGGACCTGACACAGATCCCAGAGAGTGAGGGAGGCCCCAGGGACCTAGGGGTGGGCAGACTATGTCCCATGCTACAAGTGGCTGTGACACAGCCTGTCATCTGAGTTCTGAGAAATCCCCCATTGTGGGGAAGGGGGTGGGGCCTGTGTAGAATTAGCCTCAGAGATACCTCAAAGGTGAACACAAAGCCCTGTGTCATTATTACATTGTCAGTAAATGTGGTGAAGAAAATGCAGGACAATGCCCTGGGTGATTGCAGTCTGAGACCCTGACACCTCCCTAGTGGCACACCCTGAGGGAGAAGGAAGGATGGAGCCCCTGCTCACCTGGGAAGCTCTGCCAACTATAGTCAGGTGCAAGCCCTGCCTGGACTCCTCCCTCTTTGGCCCAGCCATCTCCTTGGGTCACTCCATGTGACAGTCCCCATGGATTGAGGCACAGGCACCTCCTGCAGTGCAGCACTTAGGCCCACACTCTATGTTTAGTGTGATGACTTCTGCCACTTACTGGCAGGACATGTGAGGAAAGCTCACTTCCTGGAGCCTTAGTTTCTTTATCTATAAATGGACACAACATTTCTGCAAAGGTCCCTAAAATCTGTGGCAGTGCACATTGTACCCCAAACATAGCCAAACATTTTGCTAGGCTGACGGGCTATATCCAGCATTCCTGAAGCCCCCAGGCCCCTGTCACTAGTCCAGCTCAGCTACAGTAGGACTTGTGAAATCAGATGACCAGCACAGTACAATGGTTTTTGCCCAAAGCTGGATCAACAGAAACTCCCAGATAGCAATCCAGGAATGCACAGAGTTTGGCACCAGGAACTGTGATGAGGTCTGGTGTGTTGCACGTAGGGCTGGACATGTCTGGGGAATGGCCACCACGCTGTTTTTATTTGACCTTTTTATTTATATATTAATATTTTCTTTCACTTCCTCCTTTTATTTTCTATTTTTAAATTTTCTATATTTATCCATTTTACTCCTATTTTCTATTTTGTTTCTGTTTTTATTCCACTTTTACCTAGAAGGAGTATAAATATAAACACTAGCCACTCACTGACCATTGCCATATATTGAAAGCAGGTATGAAAATAAAATCACAGCCTTTAGAATAAAAACTAAATCTTCCTGCACAGGTAGCTAGATGTATGATAAGGCAAGAATATGTTTGGGGAGGACATTTGGAGCATCACTATAGCTTTGAAATTTTTCATACTAGTCTTGGGAAGAAACCAGTTTATCCCTGCAGCTCCCCAGATCCCCAGGCCCATGCCTGGGGCAGGGGAAAGGGGCTCCTCTATTCTGACCTCCTCCCATGGGCACCCTCACTATATAATTCTCTCCACTTTTGATTATGTTTGAAATTTTTCACTTAAAAAAGTGATGAAACAAAGCAAACAAGCACCTTCCACCAATCTCAACTGAAACCTTTAATACAGTTGTCATCCATACCCTTCCCTATAGTCAGAACTTCCCCAGGTATCACCCCAGGGTATTGGCACAGACATCCCCCTTGTGGGAACAGCCTGGCAGCAGCTGCCTAGTCACCCAATCCCTGAATTGGACAGGCCTTCCCAGGATAATAATGCCTCCTAGAACACACCCTCTTTCACATGGTCCTGGCTTGGCTCAAAGTCAGACTTGCTGAGAATGTTTGGTGATTAGTGAAGGGATGGATTTGAATCAGTATCTCTAGTCTTTACTTCCTTTCTAGAACAAACTTTTACATAAATATACAAAAACATGTTTTGCTGAGTACAAATGCTGAAAATACAAAATACAAGTCAAGATTACAGAAAGTCAAACCCCACCTCGTATTGACAGTCAGTAGGTGCAGTCAGCAGCTCCATGCCATCTTTTCTGAGTGCCCATGACCCTGTCAAATTATTACAGTGAAAAGTGGATCCTGAGGGTATTTTACCCTCCCAAAGTCATATACCACACTCACAAGAGCTTCCAGGTATATCCTGGGCCTAATGGGCTCCATGGAGGCCCACTGAAGCCACCATAGCTGACATGGAAGGTAAGTCATTATCCACTTCACTGAAGACCTAAGTGACGAGTTATCACCACCACTCATGGTAGTTCAGTATCTCTGACAGAACAGCATCCCATACAGAGGGAACAGCATCCAAGACAAAAGGAAGAGCATCCCAAACAGAGGAAACAGCATCCTAGACAGAGGGAACAGCATCTCAGAGGGTAGAGCACCTCAGAAGGAAGACCACTTCAGATAGAGGAAACAGTACCTCAGCCAGAGGAAACAGCATCTCAGACAGAGGGAACAATACCTAAGACAGGGAGAACAGCACCTCAGACAAAGGGGACAAAACTTAAAGGAAATAGCATCTTTTACAGAGGGAACAATATCACAGAAAGCAGGAACTTCATTTCAGGCAGATGGAACAGCATCTCAAATAGAAGGATGCAAGGCAAACAATAGTGAGCCAAGCCATCGGAGGAGCTGGCAGACTGCCCAGTTGGGTGAAGAGAAGTGGGCGTGAAGCCCAGTGGCTGGAGCCAAGGTGGATCTCATAGTTGTGACAACCATGTATGGGGATGACATCCCATTTAAGTCTGAGTGCCACATCCATCCCATGCTCTGACCAGCCCGAGATTAAGCTTTGACTCCCACACTCACCCCTTTACTATGGAGCATTAGTTTCCTCATCTGTCTGTCGGGGTCATCAGAGCCCACCTGGGGCAGGTGGAGAGAATACTGTGAGATAGGTATTTCTGGCATGGGGGCTAGGGACTCCTGAGTCACTGTTGTGAATGCAGGGACCAGCCCTGGGCTCCCAGGGTCACAAGCAGCCAACACACACCCATCTTCCAGAGCCTTGCATCAGATCTCATTTCCCTCTGACCTCGACAACCAACAGTGTGCCCAGGCCTCTGCATGTGCAGAAATTTGGGGCCACTACACATTAGGAGGCTTTCGTGCAAGAAAGAGGCCTGAGCTTTGAGGAGCGGAACTGGGGCCTCTGGCCTACTGCAACAGCCCAGCAGGGAAAAAACCACTTCCTCCCATCCACCACTGTTCCCACTGAGCCCCAGGGTCACTGACCCAGAGAGTTGTAGGGCCAATAGGTTTGGATTCGGGCCCAGCTGGACCTCAGTACATCTGCAAGAATGGCCAAGGGAGTCACCACAGATGCCATGGTCACTTTTGGGGCCCTGGCACCATTCAACCTTATTTCATAAACAGGAAACAGCGGGGGGGGGTGGCATACAAGAGGTCAGAGGAAGTCCTAATGTGTTGGTCCTCCTTCTGAGTGGCACTTGGTAGATAGGCCTTTCTGTCAGAATGTGATGGCAGATTGCAGAGGAAACTCTACAACCACATCATGTGGGAGGCCTAGCTCCCAGGGACTGTATCTGGGACCACCTATCCCTCCCTGACCTAAGCTAAAGGAGAGTGCATTGTCCCAGGCTGTGAGGACAAGAGCCAGGTGCTGGCCGGGCAGGTATGCCAGCCACAGAGCTCACCTTGAGCCTGGCCAGCTTGGCCCCACCCCCCAGGCGCAGGTTCACATTTGCCAGAGCCTGACCAACCCGACACTCTCTCCCGCATCTCCAGGATTGACCAGGATTCTACACTTGCCACCGAAAGCGTACAATCATTGACCTTTACAGACAATGCGGACGAGACACAGGAAGACAAAGTGAACCAAAAAGACGCCACCAGGTGCCACCAGACAGCTTCCTGCCTTGAAGACATCCATCCCCAAATGCTATTGCTTATTGTGCCCCCAAAGAGCCCCCTACAGAACCAGTGCAGGTTCTCAGGGTGGCAAAGACCCGGGAAACTGCCCCACTCACCTGCCTTTGCTTCCTTCTGGTTGATATTCAGGCAGCCACAAACACAACTTCCTCGCACTGGTTTTGCAATGAGCGTCACAGATCACGTAGACAGCACATTTGCATTTCCGCATTGACACACCCAGAGCCACTGCCTGTTGCCTCCTTTGCAGGGTGGTGGGACTGATAGTGAACACTGCCCCGTGGTGGTTTAAAGTTTAACAGGCTGTTTGATACCCCTGAGTGGTTCTGGGTATGAGGCCACAGCCATCCTGAGTGACCCGCGGTGGGCTTTTCTGAGCAGATCTGTGGGCAATATGCACCTCAGACCCTCAGAGAGGGTATCCAGCAGGGTCTGGCAGGACTGAGCAAAGGGGCCTGCCTTAGACTGCACAGGTCCCACCGAGTCTCTATGAGCCCCAATTCCTCCTCCATAAACTGAAGAGAATATGGGATGCATGTTTGGAGTTTTGTGAAAACCAAGTGCCAGGCCCAGGGCAAGTAGCCAACCAGATGTTTCCAGCATAGCTGTGAAGAACAGCATCTGCCACCATCCTCCCCACCCCCATCACTCATCCAGGCAGTGGGACCCCATTTGGAGCTAGAGGCCCAGGTCCCAGTTTACAAAAACGGCCTAAGATGGCAGAGATGAACTCTGGCAGCACAGAGGAAGGAGACCAGGTAACTAAGAGGTGAGAGGCTGTGACAGGTGATGGACAAAAAGTAGAGTGGGATAGGAAATAAGGCTCAAAGAAGAACTGGGGTTGAGAGTCCTCCTATCCTAAGAGAGTGTCCCCATGGCCAGTGACACTGGCCAAGAAAAAATATTTGTGACAGTCAGCCCTCTGGACAGCCAGAGTGAGGGTTAGCTCCCAGTATGTACACTGTGCAGCCACGCCAATTTGAAGAAGGCTAACCACT